TATTTGTTTCTGTGTGTGTGTGTGTGTGTGTGTGTGTGTGTGTTTGTGTGTTTAATACTCAAGAGGGAAAGAGAGAGGTAGATAGATAAATGAGAGACAGAGAGAGACAGTGAGACAGAGAGACAGAGAAAGAGAGAGTATGGCTGTAGGTAATGGGGAGAAACCCCTAGTAGGCTTTGGGCTTTGTCTCTATGTTGAATACCTCATAGGACCTAACACATAGAAATGTATGTGTGCTTGTTTGTTGTATGGGTGATACCTCTACCTCACAGGACTTAACACCTAGAAGTGTATGTGGGTCTTTCCTTGTATGGTGTCTATCTTTTAGGACCTAAAGGCTAGGTGATTGCACTGGGTTTGTGAAGGCGTTTGTAGGAGCATGCGTGCCTGAGAGTGTTTCTGAGTGTGTGACTGTGTACCTAGCATTTGATTATAAGGGTGAATACTGGGAAACTAGCTGGGAAAGAGCAACACACTTTGAATATAGGAAAAGAGGTATGTATCAGGACCTGACACCTAGTCCTGAGTAGACAGCTTTGTCTGTTATGGAGTAGGAACAGCAGGACCTGACCAAGGATTCTGTGACTGTCTCTGTCTCTTTCTCTCTGTATATCTGTCTGTCTCTCTGTCTCTGTTTCTCTGTTTGTCTCTGTGTATGTGTGTGGCTGTAGGGATGGACACCTACAAGAACAGCACATAGATGGCTGTGTGTAAACAGGGCTTTGGCTGAATGGGGGAGACCTTGAAGGACATGACAGCTGGGTGAGTGTTCATAAGAAATGCATGGGATCATACAAGCATGTGTGCCTGAGTGTGTTTGTGAGTATGTGCTTCTGTACCAGGCATTTGACAATAGGGGAGGGGTGCCAGTACTAAAAAGCTAGCTGTGTCTCTATTGCATTTTCGGATGCAGGAGAAGAGGTACCTAACAGGATGTGACACCTGGCTCTGGGTGTGTGGCACTGCTATAGCTGAGGTGATTCCTATCAGGAATGTGACCTAACCATGTATGTATATGTGGTGTAAGGGAAGAGATAAATACTAGACCCTGACACTTGTGTTATGTGTATATGGGGGCTGTGTATGGCCTCTGTGGCTGTAGGTAAGGGGATACTAAGAAAGACCAGATACCCAGTCCTGTGCATGGGGCTTTAGCCATTGTGTGTTGATCTCTTGGAGGACATGCTACCCAGCTGTGTAGAGGAGCATTTTCTTAATGGAGAGTTGACCTAGCAGGACCTGACACCTAGGCATGTGTGTTTGGCTCTGGCTGTAGAAGACAGAATTCCTAGTAGCACCTGACACCTAGCAATTTGGAGGTGCATCAATTTAAGTGTGTGGACACCTTACAGACAACGACACCTAGTCTTCCTGACAAAGAAAAACTTGGCTTATCATTACTTCAAAAGTAAAGTCAAATTCCTCCCCGAGACCTATATTTGTCTACTTCCATATATCTTGTTTTCTACCCTTCTTCTCCCAAATCCCTCAAGTCCATATCTTGCAAATACTTGCTCTGATCAACTTCTTTAATACTATACTGACCCTAGAGTTCTTTTACCTAGTCACTGACAGCTATCTCCAAAAATTTGCAGCCTACTTTCTGAACATTCACCACAAGTACAAGTGCACACGTGTACACACACACACACACACACACACACACACACACACACACACAC